CTCCAGTCTGGGCGACAGAGTGAGACTCCAACTCAAAAAAAAAAAAAAAAGATTTTATTTTATTTTACAGATTGGCTAATGCCTGCAGGCATAGCCCTTGGCTCCTGCTGAGATGCATGAAGACATGACAGTAAATTCTCAGCAGTCTAGTGCCCCTCCTTAGAAACCTCACAGGGGAGTTTTGAGAAGGAGCTTCTCTCCCAGGACTCCCCAGAGTCCACCAGGGTACTGCCTAGGGCTGCTCTGTGTTCCAAAGGAGGAAGATTAACAAAACAAAACAACCCAACCAGTTACCAGCTCTCATCAGCTGCCAAGCATTGTACTAACCACTTTATGTGACCAAAGTAATTTAATCTTCTCAGCTACCCAGAGGGACAGGTATTAAGATTATTTCCATTTTACAGAGGAGCAGGCTGAGACTCAAGAAGGTTGATGGGGCCCAGCATGGTGGCTCATGCCTATTATCCTAGCACTTTGGGAGGCCGAAGCGAGAGAACTGCCTGATCCCAGGGGTATGAGACCGGCCTGGGCAACTTGGCGAGGCCTCGTCTGTAAAATAAATAAAAAAATTATCCAGGCATGGTGGTGTGCACCTGTAGTTCCTTCTACTTAATAGGCTGAGACGGAAGGATTGCCTGAGCCCAGCAGGTCGATGTTGCGGTAGCCATGAGCATGTAACTGCACTGCACTCCAGACTGGGCAACAGAGTGAGACTCAGACTCAGAGTGAGACTCTGTCCTGAAGGCAGAGTAATGTCCTGGGGAGCCGGGTAGAGTAAGTGTTGTTATCCAGGCCTGGCCCTGCCTTCAGGCATGGCATTTCACCTCTCTTAGTTTCCTTCCTGGTAAAATGTTGGCCAGCCCAGGAATAACAGGTCTGGAGTCAGATTCCTTTCAACTTTCCTGGGGGTTGGGTGTGAGTCCTCTCTGGCCTCAGTCTCCTCTGCACAGTGAGGGATTTGGGCCATTTGACCCCTGAGGTCCCCTCAGCCCTCTTTGTCCTCTCTCCATGCCCCCACCACCTCCTCTTACCATGGGGTTGCATGATGTATTTATTGGCACTTTCTCACAGCCAGAGACACTGACGTTGGGTGCCCAGAGGACATACTGGGGTTGTCCCGATGTAGCCAGGTACCCAGAGGGGAATCAAGGAAAGTATGGTCACATGGGGACTCCATAGGCCTTAGGGACCTGCTCCTTGGAGACCTGCTTCTAGGTGCTGTGCAGGTTCACTGTCCAAAGGGACTGAAATGTGCCCTGTGCCCACTCTCAACTCTACCCAGGCGTAGGGCTGTGTCTGCCCAAAGGTGTACCCTCTTCCAATTACACAAGGCAATGTATGGGCAAGTATTGCCCTGTTTCCTCCCATCCCTGCCCTTAGGACTCCAAGAGCAGCTGGCTGTGTGGGCAAAGGATACAGAGCAGTTGTGGCCCAGTAGGCAATGCAGATGAGCAGGAGAACAAAGGTGATCAGCGGGTAGAACATGGTAGACATCATCTGCCCCACAGCCCTGCAGGGAGACAAGAGCTGTCCACCAGCATGACCTGGCTACCCACTTCCACTTCTGCCCTCGCCAGGGCCTGCCCAGTCCCCCAGGCTGGGAAGAATTGATGCAGTGGCTTTGTTTTTCATATCTGTGTTCCCAGGGCCTGGTGCGGGACTGGGCACACAGTAGGCGCTCACTAAATGAACTGAACTGAATAAATCAGGCTCAAGGGACTCTTAGAAGAAATTAGAGCCACAGAGAAGCCACTCGGGACAGCTTCAGGGGGAGTAAAGGAAGAGAGTTTCCAGAGTGTGATCCCTGGACAGATTTGGCAGTTCCTGGTTGGGAGTTGATGCTGCTTCTCCCTGACTGGACGCCTGACATTTCACTCAGCAACCACCACCATCACTCCCACCAACCCTCCTAGAGGTCCTACTCCATATTCTAGGCACTCAGTAGACCCTAACTCAGTTAATCCTCACAACAATCCTATAAGACAGGAACTACTATCACCCCTATTTTATAGATGGGAAGACTGAGGCTCAGTCACACAGCAGTGTTCACCACCACGCTATTCTGCTCTTCTTCTCCAGGGCTCCCTGCCACCTCCCTAGCACCCCCATCCTGGGTCTGTGCTGCTCTCAGCTCCATCTGCCTCCCAGACAGTTCCTAACTTGCTGGCCTCCGTCAGGAGAGCGATGGCAATACGAATCCGCTGCCGCAGGAAGATGAGCATCAGTAGCAGGATGCCTTCCAGCACAGCCAACACGATCACTGCAGAGGATGGCAAAGGGGGCCTGGGTCAGAGTCCAGGCTGAGCATGGCCCAGGGCAGTCCTTGGGTGGCTGGTGGCTTGGGTTGGGCAGGGTACTCACGGGCAGCCAGCCAGGTCTCCTGCACGTTCTGGTAGGCACTGAGGTTGGTGGTGAAGCCCAGCTGGGAAATGGAGGCACCCTTGTCCCTCAGCATTCGGTACTCCTCCCAGCAGTAGTAGATGCCGTATGCCAACACCCCTAGCACCCCCAGGATCAGCACCAGCACCATGGGCCCGGCCACCAGGCGCAGAAGCAGGATAAATAGGAGGCTCAGGACCAGAGCCACGCCTAGGGCACTGCAGGCAAGGGGAGAAGGTGAGGGTCACCCTGGCTCCCCAAATGTCTTTCACATCATCCCATATCCCCAGATTAGACCTCCTTTCTTTTATATATCCTGCTGGACTTGGGATCCATTCTGAGTTCAGTCTCCTCCTTCTCTGTCCAAAGGCTGTTTTGGACATTGGGCTAGGGGAGAGAGGATCGGGGAGGGGTGAAGGTGAAGACAAGAGAGGAGGGGAATTTGGTGACTCACACAAGAATCCAATACCAGGATTGGGCAAAGTCTTCAAAGATCTTAACACTGATGTCTCGGGCATTGAGGCTGTCAACAAGGCCGCTGTAGGGGAGAGAGAGTCAGACAGGCTGTGGGTAAAAAGGGGTGTGGGATAGTGATGTGGGGGCAAGAGATGCCTACCTGATCCCCTGAATGATGGTGGTGTTGCCACTGAACCCTTGGAGTTCGGGGAGGGTGATGTTGGTCCATGGAAAGCAACGCCCCAGAGCTGGAGAGGAGAATGAGGCTGCTGGGTGGGAGGGCCGGGGGCTTTGGCCCTCTCCCAGCCCATGGTGCCTTCAGAGGAGGCAAGAGTGATGGGCTCTGCTCATCAGTTCAGGGCTGTAGGTCCCTCTGTGGCTCAGATACTCCAGAAGCTTTGCCCAAAGATGGTGTCCAGGCTCCCAGTCTCTGCCATCCAAGTCCAGCTCACTTTCCCTTCACCTCTATACCTTTGCTGTTGCTGTGCCTCCCTCAGGGCAGTTCCATCTCCATCTCACTTCCTTCAGGAAGTCTCACACACTCCTATCTCTTGTGGCACCTGTTATGTGCCCACAGAACTGTTTGCCACCCTCACAACTTTGCCAGGAAGTCTTGCTTTGTCATTTACATATTTTCTTTCTTTCTTTCTTTCCTTTTTTTTTTTTTTCTTTTAGAGACAGGGTCTCGCTCTGTCACCCGAGCTGGAGTGCAGTCATGTGTTCATAGCTCACTGCAGCCTCAAATTCCTGGCCTCAAGCGATCCTCTTACTCCAGCCTCCCAAAATCCTGGCATTGCAGGCATGAGACATCACACTCTGATGTCATGTTTTTTTTGTTTTTAGTTTGGAAAATATCATTTATTTAGAAAATAAATTGGAGAGAGAGAGGAGATTCACCTCCCCAAGGTAAGGTAGGGGTCCAAAGTTAGGAAACATGGCGGCCATAGCTCCAAGAGTCACTTGGACACACCAGAGTTTAACAAAGCAGTGGCCACCCTGATGTCATTTACAGTCTAAAGATGAGGAGACAAGGTTCAGAGATTCCTGATTTGAGCAATAAAAATATTGGGCTAGATGATGTCTGAGAAGGAAATTTGTGCTTCTCACCTGGAGTAGAGGGAAGGAGGAAACGGGGGCACAGCTCCTGTTGCAGGCTTTGGGGCACTGGCTGTGGCGAGGGTGTGGAGAAAAGGACAGACCGACACACAGGCACAGAGCAGGATGAAGAAGGGGTTCCCTCACCACCACTGCCACCACAGGGCTCAGCCTGTCCTGCCCTCCCCAGGAAAGCCAACCTAGTGATCATCTACTGAACTCCCCCTCCTACTCCCACCCATTGTGAGCCCTCCTGGGTGACAGCGATGACATTAGGGGCAGTGCTCACCATATTCCAGGGTACCCCCGGCTGACAAAAGTTCCTGTTTTTAGTATAGAAGACCTCCCCGACTGTCTGCAAGTACTCATTCTCTCCCACAGTCCATGCGGCCTCTGGGCAGGAGGACACGCACACCTGGGGACAGAGAGGGTGCTAAGGGGCTAGTAGCCAAGACCTGGGGGGAGATCTGGAGCAGAAGCAGGTCCCAGGCTCTGACCTGGGGAGTTGGACACTGTAGGCCATTCTCAGCCACCGAGATGATGTTGGTGGCCAGGATGCAGCTGAAGATGTTGAAGTACAGGAGATACGGTTTATCTCTACAGGAAGAGAGGAAGCACATGCATCAGGGCCTGGTCAGGTGTTGAGGGAGGGGAGAGACCATTAGGGTGGCTTCCAAAGAATATAGTGGACCCTACATGCCCCAGATAAGTCACACCCTGCTCAGCTGGGGAGGTAGAGGAAACACCCAGAAGATTTCTCAGAGTAATTCAGCATTATAACAGTTAACAGGCCAGGCTCGGTGGCTCAGCCTGTAATCCCAGCACTTTGGGAGGCCAAGGCGAGTGGATTGCCTGAGCCCGCAGGTTCAAGACCCACCTGGGCAACTTGGCGAGACCTCGTCTCTACAATAAATCAAAAATCAGCCGGGCTTGGTAGCGCACGCCTATAGTTCCAGCTATGTGGAAGGCTGAGGCGGAAGGATCGCCAGAGCCCAGCAGGTCAAGGCTGCGGTGGCCGGGAGTGGCCACTGCTCTCCAGTCTGGGCGACAGAGTGAGACTCTAACTCAAAAAAACAAAAACAAAAACAAAACAAAACAAAACAAAAATAGTTAACAAATGACTAGGAGCAGGAGTCACCTCTTACCGACTTTATGAACTTGAGCAAATCAGTTGCTCATTCCACCACATAAAAATTCATAGGACCTACCTCATGGGGTTTAAGTGAGCTTGTGTGCGTCAAGTATACTGCCTGCCCGGAACATAGTAAACGCTATGTTGTATAAGGATGAGAGGTTTTATTATTTACGAAATGTTTCCTGCATGTGAAGACTGATGCCATCATTTCTGGAATTGCCCCTGAGTTTCAGATAAACAAATCAAAGATCAAAGAGGTTGAGCTCAAGGCCCGAGGCCACACAACCCAAACTTGGCCCAGCTGGGGATCCAAACACCAAGCTCTGAACTCCAGAACCCAGGCACGTAACAAGACCGTCTGCATCACCTCCCAGCTCTGGGGGAACTCAAGAAGCTACTGTCCAAAAACGGTTCTCAATGTGGCCTGGAGTGGTCAGATTCAGGGAGGCTGAGGGTGGGGTGGGAACAGCAGGGAAAGGATGTGGAAGAGCATGGGCAGGTCTGGAGCCTGACGTGAGGGGGTGTCTCCTGCTCACCACCTCACTTCCCTCCTCCCACCTCTTCTCAACTTTGTACTCACATGTTCTCTCCCATCCCGCAGTAGGCCCCAGTAGAGTTCCTGGGGTAGAGGACTTGCCGGGGGTCTCCATACACCCAGGCTGGAGACAGACACACAGATGAGTCACCAGAGAGCAAGGACTTAGAGGGGGAGTAGCTATGGGTGTGGTCTCTCCTGGGCCTCTTTCTATTCCTCACCCACCTCTCCAGCCCTGAGCAGCTGGAAACTCACCCACAATCCCCACCACGATGTATCCCAAAATGAAGAGCAGGAAGAGGACGCAGCAGATAACATCTGTGCAGCCCCTGGGAGAGAAATGGGAGTCTGAGCTAGGGAAAACCTTGGGGGAGGGGACATGGGGTGCCTGGTTTGGAAGGGTCATGGTTTGAAGAGTTGGGAGATGCTGGAGAGTGGGCATCAGTCAGTTTTATTTTATTTTATTAAGAAAACCTTTCCTGGGTGGATGAACTTTCTGAGGTGTGACGCTGAAAAGCACACAGTTCCTAAGTGCTCAGCTGAGTGCTTTTTCCCAAAACGCACATGCCCATTTAGCCAGCACCCAGAAGCCCCATGGTGCCTCCTCCAGACAACAATCCCCCCCAGGGCAGGAGATTTTCTACTTCACAAATTTCTTACTTTCAGCAAGTACCAAAGCTGACACAAGACTCCCGTCCCCAGAGCAGGGCCCAGAACTCACCTGTTCTTGATGGGGCCTCGGAAGGAGGGATCATATTTGGCTGGTTTCCCTGAGGGGTATGGAGAGGAATGCGGAGAATGAGGTGTTTCTCTCCCAACGAGGATCCTACCTGGGCCTCAGGCATTTTTGGGAAGATGGACTGGGACAGGATTGGCAGGAGGGGGAAACTAGGGAGCAGGAAAGGTAGGATCTGGGCCTGGTCAGAAGCAAGTTCAACAGCTCCCCATGAACTCCACCAATGGCCCTTGGTGGGAGGGGAAGGAGGGCCTTTGTAGTTTTTGGCTTGCACATCAAGGCAGTCAGTCTGGGAAATGGCCTTGGTCTTCTGCCACACTCTAGTCCATTTCTCTAGAGCCTCCCTCCAGTTGGGATGTGGGACTCTGTGTCTCAGGGACGATCACACCCTCATCCTTATCCCCCTTTCCCCCTATTCCTTGCCCAATGGCCAGGAAGACCCAGAGCCCCTCTGGGAGGTCACAGTCCCTTTCCATATCTGCCCCAGGTCCTATCCCCACTCTCTGGCCCGAGGCCATGGGGAAGAAATTAGAGCTGATGGGTGTCAACCCCTGCAGGGCCTGTTTGCCCCCACTCTGAAGGGACCTCAGTCCCCTGGCCACCACAAGGCTGGCAGTCAGGGTGACACCTGAGCCTGGCCATTGAGGTTGCAGACACATCCAGTTCCTGGTCCTCCCTGAGTACACACAGGAAGGAGGTGGGGCCAGCCAGCCAGGGTCCTATGTGGCACTGAAGAGGGAGGGCAGAGGGCTGGGCAAGAGTGTGGGAAGGAGTGGGGTGGGGGCCGTTCTCCCCAGTTTCTCTGGACTCTGTCCCGCCATGGCTCATGGTCATAAGGTCAATGATTGACCCAAAGCCGCTCCAGGAAGTCTGTTGGGGAGTTCTCACTGCCTCTTTTCCTGTTCCCCTAAGAGACTCAAGCCCCACCACACGAAGGTCCCTCCTTTGGGGTTCCCTCCCCTCCAGACCAGAAGCTCAGTCCCAATCCCCAGGGGTCTCTGCCAGCAGGTCTCCAGCCCTCACTGCTCACAGAGATCTGGAGACTTTTCCCTAGCTCCCTCTCTCTTCATACCTCCAACCCATATTCCTCAGAGATTCTGGAAACAAGCTCCCTCAGCTTGGAAACAAGACATGTCTGTTCGCACAGGTCTCACCCTTCACAGGAACCCCAGAAGGCCCTGTCCCTATTCCTCAAAGTCCTCCAAGACCGGCTGGCTTCTTTACTCCTAACAGAGACCCTGATTCAGACCAACAGCTCCCTCTCCATAAAGACCATCAGCCCCAACTCCTCACAGGGACCTCCAGAAGAACCCACAACTCTTGCTATTCCTCACAGAGACGCCGGTAGGCAGGCATTCCCCCTCAGGAACTCAGAGTTCAGGCTGAAATTCCTCCTGCTCTCAGGGACCCCAGCCTCACCCCTTGCAGGCTCTGCAGCACATGGCACTCACAGCCCACAGCCCATTTCTGCTCAGGACCACAGCCCTACCACCTTCCCTCCAGGCTTTGTTTCCCAGGGTCCTGCCTTCAGGGCCCAGAGTCCAGGGCTGAAATCCCCCACCTCCTCCCAGGGACCCCAACCCCAACTCTCGGACACCAGACCCCAGCTTCACTCCCCATGGGCTCCTAGCAATGGCCCCAGCCCCTGAGCCCCATCCTGCTCCCAAGACCCTGACTCCCTCTTTCCTCCGACTTCTGTTTCCCAGGCCCTCCTCTCAGGGACCCGGGTCTCTCCTTAGTTTCTCCCCTGGAGCCAGTCTCAGCTGCCATTCGCGCAGCGCCGGCCTCCCCTTCTTCCACAGGGTCCCAGCCTTGCCCCAGCCTCACCAGAGACCTCGCCCTCCTCCTGCTTTCCGCCCATGGCTCAGTCTCCCGGAGTGATTGGAGCCCTGGAGACCTGGCGTCTCACCTGCCACCTGCCCCGCCCTCCACACGTCACAGCTCCACCCCCACCTGTGGTCCCCGACACACTCTAGTTCCTTCTTCCCGCCTCTGCCCAGCGAGCTGGGAAGCTGGAGCCTGGGACAGGGGCAGCTTGCTGGGAACTCCACAGACCACAGCGTGAAAAACCTGGCAAGCTCTGATAAGAAAACGCTTTATAACCTTGCAATCTACCTCGACTGGGGTACACTCCCACCCACACTCTCCTGCCAGATTGTCAAAATTGACATTTGATCCTTGACCAAGACCCCCACGGTGGTTTCTCACAACCCTCTCCCTTCCCACTGGGAGGCTGTCTACACCAGCCACATTCGTCCTGCTCACATGGGGCTCTGGCCCTTGGACCCACATTCCCTCTGGCTGTGTGTGCTTCCTCCCCATTCCAACACCACCCAGTTTATTACCAAACCCAACATTTATTGAGAACAAAAGGAACCAGTTGGCAAAGAGGCCTGATTTCAATTCATCAAATTTTCAGCTAAGGATGGAGAATGGGGGGTGGCCAGCCCTGAAGTCACCCTCCCAGGGAGGAACCAGCTCTGGGAGAGAGGGGCTGTCAGACCTCCAGGGCCTGGCTGGGGCCTCTGGTTGAGGAATGTGTGAAAGGGTACTGGGGAGAGACCGCAGCGCCCCCAGGCGTGGGCTTCGAGCAGCAAGTGGCAGAGGAGGCTGCTGATCTGGTGGCCATCCAAGGTGGGGAAGGGAGGATGTGGTCCATTCTCAGGTGTTGACAGGGGGCAGGGAGCTGAGCTCCGGCAGCAGCTCAGGGTGGGGGTCCAGGCGGGCCAGGCGGCTCTGCTCTAGGGCGATGGCTTCGGCTGAATGCTTGCACTTCTCAGAGCCACACTGACAGGTGAAATATTTGCTTTTGATGTCCCAGAAGCGGTCGCCATAGTCGAACCTGTCAGAGGCATACAGGAGCTTATGGGACCTGGACCCAGCCACCCAGAGCCCATCCCAAAGGCCCTGTGGATCCTATTTCCTAGATGAACCCAGGTACCCATCCCCATCTTCTTCAGATGTGCTCTAAGTCCTTGAATGTTCTATGGTCTTGCCACACCAGCATCACCAGGGACTTGTTAGAAATGCAGAATCAGGCTCCATCCCAAATCTATTGCATCAGAATCTCTCAGAGAGGCCCAGGACTGTTTTGACAAGCTCCCAGGGGACACTTATCTGTCTCCGCCTTTGTGGGAGACTTCCACTATCAGGGCTGGAACACCGCCCTTTGACTTACCCACCACAAATGCTTCCTGCGCCCACACCTGCCAGCCCTCCCCATTGTCCCAGCTGCCCAGTAGGGGCCCCCATTTCTGCTCACTGAAGTCTGAGAAACTCTGCTCTAATTCATGTCTGGAAACAAGGTGCACTCCAGCCTTCAGGTCCCAGGCTTACTGCATCTCCCACCCCCTGGCCCCCAGAGACCCCTAGAACCTCACCCTAGCTCCTCCCCAGTACGGATATCTCGGGAACTGAAGAAGGCGATGCGTGGAAACCGCAGGTCTTGATGCAGCATGAAGACCCGCACGGGAATGATGTTGGGGTCACACAGGTGGTTGATGAAGCGGCTGATGTTGCCGTAGTAACGCGCATCAATGCAGTACACCTCTCCATCCTAGGGGGGGCATCACTCTTCATATCCACCTCCATCTTGCTTGCCTGGCTGACCTCCCAACCCACTGATACCCTAGTCCCTCCTCCCCAGGTTTCCATCTGCTGACTTTCCAGGGGCTCCAGAAGCTCAGCTACAGGGAGCAGGGGAGAGAGGGACCTCCTGCCCACCTTGTTGTCTAAGTCGAAGAGATAAGAATCATCCTCTCTCACATCAGCCTCAGCATCAGAGATCAGCTCCCCCACATACCTATTGGATAGGAATCGATTCTGAAGGTGAGCACAGGTTATTGTGAGGTGGCTAAAGGACCTGTCCCTCCTCACGACCCTGAGGAATCCTCTTCCACTACTCCTCAGCTGCCCTGTCACTGCCCATGGACCTCCCAGACCAATGCTGCTGCGGTTGGTGACCCAAGGCATAGTGGGTCCAGGAGGATCAGGAAAGGGATCATCAGGACACAAGTATGTGAGGGGACGACCCAGGACATAATCCTGCCAGCTGGGGCCCCTACTGGGCAGCTGGGACAATGGGGAGGGCTGGCAGGTGTGGGAGCAGGAAGCATTTGTGGTGGGTAAGTCAAAGGGCGGTGTTCCAGCCCTGACAGTGGAAGTCTCCCACAAAGGTGGAGACAGATGCCAAGTTCTGGGGCAGTCGGCTTGGGTAGGGAAATTCATTCAGGTTTGGATATAGGGAGGCTTATGCACTAGGAGTTGCCCAGCGAGGAGTGGGCAATACAGGGCTGAGGGACAGGAGAGGAGCCAGGGCTGCAGGAGGAGCCGGAGCCACAGGAGTGAGGAATTCAGGGCAAGAGCTGGGGGCGAGGGCACCCACATCTGAAGAGCAGGAACAGCTGTCAGACCTCCAGCAGGAGGGGGACCACTTGTCTGAGAAGTTGAGAGGTAACATGATAGACACTGGAAGGTTCCTTGAATAGGCAAATGAGGCTAAAGGGTTGTTCCAAAGGAGACCTAGGTAAGTTTGAGGGTCATGGGGTGGGAGCCAGGAGAAGGGGGGGGAGTTACAGATGCTGGGCAGGGTAAGAACTGGTGGAGGGGGACAGGCCCCTGAGGAGGTGAGCAGAGAGGTAGTTGTTACCATCTCCACTTCACAGACAAGAAAAATAAGGCTCAAAGAGGTTAAGTAGCTTGGCTGCCAAGGACACCCAGCGGCAGAGCAGGCTCAACTCCAGCTCTGTCTCCAAACCTAGTGCTTTCCCCAGCTAGGAAGGGTGGGGAGAGGGTGTGTGAAGCTCAGAAATACACCAAGGAGGAGGAGAGGCAGGATGGGCTCTGTGGTCTGGGCCAAATGGAGGCAGGTGCTGTCCTTGGCTATGGGGATGGGGGTAAGAGGAGGCTGGCCAAAAAGGGGGCAGGAGGAGAGACCCCCTCAGGGCAACCTGCCGGGGCAGGGGTTAGAGAGGGAGGTTTGGGAGTCAGCAGTGGCTGTGTGCCTTCTCCCCACCGGTGCCAAGGTTCCCCCAGAGACTCACTCGCAGATGAAGGTCCCCTGCGGGATGGTCTGCAAGGCACGGACACCCCAGCCCATCTTTGCTGTTCGGTAGAGCTGTAGTCGTACCCTGGGGTTGGAAGAGAGGGTGCTATTGGATGGAGGGCCTGGAAAAGCCCCAGCAGAAGGGAGGAAGAGGTGAGGCTGGGAAAGGGGGTGCAGGGGCGGGGCCTCACTTGATGCCGCTCTGCACGACCCGGTTCTTGCAGTTTCTCCAGCAGGAGCAAGCCTGGTTACACTCGAAAATCAAGGGGGGCTCGATCTTGTTAAATTCCTGGAGGAGCCGCCCATCCTGAGGTACAGAGGGAGGGGAGGACAGTGGTTTCTCTGTGGGGGCCATCCCAGGCCCAGGAACCCCAAGACTCTACAAAAAAATCCACCTGACCCTGACCCAGACACAGGGAGGATGGGGTGGGCGGGAGAGGCCACACAAACTCCGAGATCAGAAAACAGGAAACAGAAGAGCATCACCCATGATTTGCATAGGCCTGAGCACAGGCCCGTTGCTGTCCTGGCAGCATCCCAAGATCCCAAGGTCTGGCCCTGTCTTCTCTGTCACTTTCCCCACAGAATAGGAAGTGAGGGACAAGGTCCCAGGGGGTTGGCGTGAGAGGCTAGCTCCTCCAAAGGAGGAGCTGAGACTCTGAGACCAGGCCAGGGGCATGTACCTTGTCATACCAGCACCGGATGCTGAGCTGGCCACACAGGCAGTTGGAGCTGGAGCAGTCATCCACACACGTGCAGTGCTGTGGCAAGGAGGCAGCAGGGTCAGCTCAAACCACAGCTGGCCTGAGCCCTTCAACTCTCCGTGTTCCCTAATCCCCCAACCACTGTCCTTTCTCTAGGGTCTGTGTTTTAGGATAATGAGTGGTGATGCTCCCAGGGTGAAGACAAATCAATACATGGCTGATGGGTGTGTCTCAGGCTCACATGATACCTTTTTGTGACCTAAAAAAGGGAACCCTCCCATCCCCTGGGTATGTGCAACCCCACATCAGGGATCACTTTCAGCCCCTACTCCCTTGGTCCGGGGCCTTTGTTGGTCTGCGACTTGCCTAACTGTACTTGGCAGCTCTGAGCATCCTTTTGAGACGGCGCAGGACGCCCCTCACCTGCAGGTGGGTGATGTTGCGGTCAATGTTCATGGTGGAAGTCTCGCAGTTTTCTGAGATGTACTTGTAATCCTCAGGGCAGGGTTCCCCATCCACACCATTGACACAGGGAATGGGCACGTTCTCATAGCCCCGAGCCACATCCCTGCAGAAGCGGGGGAGATAGGGCTAGGGGCTAGAGCAGAAGGTAACGGCTCCCTAGGTACAAAGAAAGCTGGGGGCGGGGGAGGTTTCCTGAGGTATGAGGAGATGAATGGGAATCTGCTAGGGCAGGTGGAGTCAGGTTGCCAGACAAAGTGCAGGACAACCAGGTTTGAATTTTTAGATTCGAATTTCAGATAAGTAAGAAGGAACCTTTTAGTATAAGTATGTCCCAATTGCTGCATGCGACACCCCTGCACTAAAATTATTCAACTGAAATTCCAGTTTAGCTGGTGCCTTCTATTTGTTTGCTCTACCCAGCAACCCCAGTGGGGAGGAATCTGGGGTGGTTCTGGGGTTGCAAGGACCATGGGAGCAAGGGTTTGGGGATGTTAAGAGGAGGCCATGAGGCCTACGGAGCGGGCAGGCAGTGGCTCTGGGTACACAGAGGGGCCCAGGGCTCACCGGCAGATGATCTTCTCTGTGCGGATGGCCCGATTTCCCACCCCAAGCCGGAGCTTGCGGTTGAGCTGGAGAGCAAACCACACATCGGAGCGTTCTGGAGTCAGGTCCCATGCCGTGTCTCCCTCCTTGTTCCG